CTACAAAGTATAATACTTCCACTGTATACATATCACTGAGTGACCAGTAATAGATGAAATATTCAACAGTAAATAACAAAGTACAAAGTATAATATTCCCTCTGTATACTTATCACTGAGTGACCAGTAATAGATGAAATATTCAACAGTTACTAACAAACTACAAAGTATAATATTCCCTCTGTATACTTATCACTGAGTGACCAGTAATAGATGAAATATTCAACAGTTACTAACAAACTACAAAGTATAATATTCCCTCTGTATACTTATCACTGAGTGACCAGTAGTAGACGAAATATTCAACAGTTACTAACAAACTACAAAATATAATATTCCCTCTGTATACTTATCACTGAATGACAAGTAGTAGACGAAATATTCAACAGTTACTAACAAACTACAAAGTATAATATTCCCTCTGTATACTTATCACTGAGTGACCAGTAGTAGACGAAATATTCAACAGTTAATAACAAACTACAAAATATAATATTCCCTCTGTATACTTATCACTGAATGACAAGTAGTTTTTCTTTCACATGTGTCAGTTTTGAGCATGTTGAAGCCCTTATCGGTAATTACTTATGTAGTCTTCCCCTCCCCTCCCTCCGGAGGCTCAGCAGTAAGTCTGAGTGTTTATGACGCTAAAAACCGAGTTCAATACTTGTGGTAGGCACAGCTCGGAGAGCTCACTATATAGCTTTGTGCATAGTAATAAATTAATTAATGTAGTCTTCTCCTATTAACGCCGATTAAAAAGACTAACTTGTTGACTCGCCACTTATTGTGAATTAATGAGCAGATTAATTCAATAAAACTACTAATTAATAATACATGGTGTTACAGTAAACAAATAACATTATATTAACAATTCCTTATCCTAATTACAAGTGTGTTGTGACATAACTAAAATTTATGAAAAATTACACTTAACCCTGTTCATACCGTAACAGTTGACGTCAAGTTATTTGCTATTATAAATACCGTCTCAACTATTACCATGTCTGTCGTGTCTCACTCGGTCTAAAGGGCCATGGTATTGAGCGAAAGGCCTCGTCGGCTCTGGATATAACACATATAGTGTGGTTGACATATTATTAGCACTCTTCTTTATTTTTACTCAGTTCTCGTGAACAATTATCTGTACTAGCAAGATGACCAGTCCAAGTGAACCGAAAATGTATATTTTTACATAACGTTTAGTGAATGTAATGAACTTGGAGCTTGCTTAGGACGCCACAGAGTATCTAGATACCCGTGGGTGGGCAGAGCACATATAGTTCATTGTTTAGCTTTGTGGTTAAAAACAGCAATAACTACAAGAACGAACAATGAAAAACGCGTAATGTTCAGAAACTCATCAGTGGCCTAAAACAAATTTGTTGTCTTGTTATCATTCTATTCTTCTACTGAAAACTTGTAATGAAGTAAATAAGTATCTTTACCCACGTCTTTCCTAATAGGCTTAGAGCTTCTCCAGCTTGTAATATTGTATAAATCCGTTGTTAATAGCGTGGCATGTAAGACGTAAATACAGTGTTTCAGTAATAACAAGAACATGTACAATTTGTAGCTAGTTTGCAATAACTAGCAAAGGTACATGCGCCAGGCGCGTCATTTATTTCGTTTGCTTCACGTGAATGGCGGAAAGGCGTGCGTTAGTATCATTCGCCTACACTAATATAGTAGCAAAAGGAAAGTTTTAATGGCTGTAAAACTAGAAGTAATGAGAATATGATTACAATAAGGGGTTTTAGAATTCCGATAGGTATATTCAAAAACCCCTAAAAATATCATGGTAATCAGAGGTCGGAAATTTGAAAAATATTCAACATGGACATACAGACACATGCTGCTATATATATTACAGATGTACAGGTTAAACCCATTATATGAGTTTCTTAAATTGTAAGTAATTTGTAACTGTAGTTTATTTCATCGACAGTTATGGCTGAAGACTGGAAGTTAAATGGTATAGATAACAGCACTAACTTCAAGAAACAGACTGCTTAACTCGTGTAATAACTCGGTTTTAAAAACAATGTTTCACAAGTACAGTCTTAGTGTAGCTGTTATAAACAAAAATCGTGATTAATGCATCAAAATAAGCATGTAAAAGTTCAGAGTAATGGCGAAAAAGAGTTTAGGTGTTGAGAATTGTACACAAAGGAAGTCGTCCAATACTACTTTAAAACTGTATAGAGAAAAATCCTTAGGGTATTCAATGAATCTTTCCCAGGAAAGCTTGTTAGTGCATAATGAAAACTATATAAAAGTTTCATACATAGAAAATTTAACACACGAATCTCCTTTCAAAATACAGATAAACCTACTCTAAATTAAAAGTTACCGAAATCATGAATAATCATTAATTAATAAATAAATAAAATAATCAATTTCGAAACTGTATTTGATGATGAAGCAGGATTTCTTAACACGAGGGAAGTTTAAGAATTAAATTAATATTTTCTCTACATTTACATGCGGCATATAAGTATATGACTCTTCAAACAAATATATCAAAGGAATCACTTAGAGCTATCTACTCAGCTTCACAAAAACTGGATAAACGTTGGGGAAGAAGTCTACCCACTGAAAAAATTAGAATATCGCCATACTATGTAAATGATTAAAAAACTTTATCTAACTTAAAGCTTTTATGTCTCTGTGTGCAATTGAACGCAATGTCTGTTCTGGAAAGCTTAATCAATATAATTAGGAGACTTGATTGTATATCATTTGCACCTGGAAGAGGAGGTCTGATATATAGTTGTATGTAATTTGGCACCTACAAGAGGAAGACTGTAGGATCATAGAGGACTTGGCTATTTATCATTTGACACCTAGAAGAGGAAGACTGGAAAATCCTAGAGGAATTGGCTGTATATCATTTGACACCTAGAAGAGGAAGACTGGAAAATCCTAGAGGAATTGGCCGTATATCATTTGCACCTGGAAGAGGAGGTCTGATATATAGTTGTATGTAATTTGGCACCTACAAGAGGAAGACTGTAGGATCATAGAGGACTTGGCTATTTATCATTTGACACCTAGAAGAGGAAGACTGGATAATCATATACGACTCGGTAGTATATCACTTAGCATCTGGAAGGAGAGACTCTCCATCATGGCCGCTTAATTAGCCTAAAGGCGTAGATCATAGTCAAATAACAAAAGCTAGGTAAATATAAAACATGAAAACTCTTATTAGTGCACTTGCAACTAACTTTCGGTACAGATATATCACGAGTGGCGGGGTTGTACATTCGCTTAGAAGTACGAAATTACATAAACGTAAATTCACAAAGTACCAACTTAAATGATAGATTAATCTACAAAGATTTATTTTTTAATGCAGAACATGGAAACCTATAATCTCAAACCGGGATGTGTACGATGAAAAATACACAGACAGTACATTACAAATCGAAATCATACCCCCATAACCATAAAAACAAATAAGAAAAGGTTATCAAACCATCGCAATCTGAGGGTCGCGGGTTCGAATCTCTGTCGCACCAAACATGCTCGCCCTTTCAGCCGTAAGGGCGTTATAATGTGACGGTCAATCCCATTATTCGTTGGTAAAAGAGTAGCCCAAGAGTTGGCGGTGGGTGGTGATGACTAGCTGCCTTCCCTCTAGTCTTACACTGCTAAATTAGGGACGGCTAGCGCAGATAGCCCTCGTGTAGCTTTGCGCGAAATTCAAAAAACAAACAAACGTTATCAAACCTAAATTAACTGAACGATGTTCATGCTGTTCCTTAATTTCAGATGAATCAAATAAACAAACATGACGTATTTCATTACTAATAGGTTCATTATCGAATCATTCCTTTTAGTCTTAGCTTCAGCAAGCTCTCGTCACTCTAACAACAACGTTTTGAGAATATACGTTTATTTTTCCCAGTTTAACTATTTTCAAAGCGAAATGCGGCAACGTTTACCATTTTCTCTTTTTTTCGTTTATTATACATTTTATACGTTTGAGTGGATATCTTTCGAAAACTTTTTCATAGTCTAAACATGTTAAAAAATACTTTTACATACGATATGAAAATGATCAGAGATAAATAAAAACTAACCTGATCGAAAGCTTCGCATAAAACATCCGTACCAGTGAACGGCGAACCCAGAAGTTCAGTACAATTTCTCTTTCCTTCCTTGCTGTTTAAATTTTCAAATAAAACACCATCTTGTAGATCTTTCACAAAGTTCAGGAACTCCTGCTGGAAATCGAACTTGTTCGCCGGACCTTGTGACGATCTCGAGATCAAAGACATATACTTGTAAAAAGCAACACGTGCGAAAGTTTCCAAGCTAAGTCCCTTTTCAAGTTCGGCAAAGACCACCCTACTAAATAAAGCTCCTAAAACAATGATTAGTGTTATTTTCAAGGGAAAAGCCATATTAATGGATTGTTCTGTGATTTGAAAGCGACTGATTTGTTTGCAATACCTAGCTTTATTCGGTACACCAGATAACACCAAAGTCGTGTCGCCAACTGATATGAAATAGCTTCTATCAAGAGTTATTATGCACTGTACGACTGATTATGAAATGGCCGAGTAGAGTGAAATGTTTTCGAACAACTGATGAACCGATTTACTCACTTTTATTTGAGGAAAGGAAAACAAACAACGATTTAGATCAGCATTTATTTACCAGCATTATTATTTTTTTCTTTACTCTGTTTTAAATATTTAGTTCATTTAGAACTCCTCAAAACATGGGAACCCCAGAATTTTATTATTTTCGACATAAGATACTATAGTTCGCTAACTCTAAACTCCACGCGATCGAGGTCACGTCACCAATAAACTGTGCCGGAGCAAAATCAGCTCATTTCGTAGTTGATGAAATAACCAATCATCAAAGCTCTCTCCCAAACGTCACGTTCTGAAGTCAGCTATTCTATCTAAACATTTCTTATAATTCTCGTAGCTTCTTTTACTTCTTCTGGTCTACTTCCTCATCCTCTTTGCATTTTGGTTGCTTACACCAGTAAACATTCTACATCCATTTAATTATATGTGAATCTCGTCAATATACTGTATCTCTCACCAACGTTTTATACGTATAATCATACCATTATATCCTCACATATAGAACGAGTCTTATGTTTCGGAAAAACAAAATTACTGAATATGGGTTGTTCCTAGTTTTAATCATTTTAATTAATTTTAAAATGTATGGTCGTGTTCTACATGTTATATCATCATATATCAGCTATTTTGTGCAACGAAATATATAATATTTTTTAAACTGCACACACATACACTATGATATTTTGACTTGTTCTTGAAAATGCGCTTTTTAAATTGGAAAATATCTAGGAAACTACTTAGGAAAACACGTAATTGCCTTCAGATTTGGGAAAAAAATTACTATTCACACTTTTAATTTCCTTTGTGGTTTAGCTGCATAAATAATCTATTAAAAACATTTCGTTATTGTTCAATTTACAAAATATTGTAACAAACGGTTGACAGTATAGTTAGAATCTTAGGTGTAAAACTACTTTGCTATAAAATACAATGATTTCGTTTTTCGTTTTTTGCTGGATATAAAGTGAATAAACCTACTTAGAACTCTTACACTGTTTTCATATTACCCCTGTTTATTTACGTATGCAAATAAATGTTAGGCTAATATATTTAATACTCTCTGAAATAATCTTATGTATAACGAAGATTTTACTGTTTTAATATCCAAAGTGTCTAAGGTGAAGCCTCCCACAACTATACCTGGATATTCGATTTGTGTTAACGAAAAAACAAGTAAAACAGTAATGTTTATTCAAGGCAACGGATCCCAAACTTTGGAAGTTGACGAACCATCTTCCCAATTTAGTAAATTTTCGTATCCTATGATTCTAATTGTGAAAATAAATCACACATCTTCATCTATAAAATCGTTTTATTTTATCTACTGAAGTTGTTACTGTAACCGCTATTAGTCCTATAATTCGCAAAGTTAGAAACAACGTAACAAATATTACTTAATTACAACAATAAACGTTGATGATGAAGTTTTTTTCTCCTACTTTTTATTACTTCATTTTGTTTTACTTTTTCCCTTTCGTTTCGTGTATCTCCTTTGATGACCATTGTGTACCACCACAGTTTGAGGAACACTGATGTACAGATTAAATAAGAAATGGCTGACTGAATATGGGGCAAATATGATGCGAGCACCAATAATATATTAAGAAGAACTGTATCGAAGGTTTATTATTTTTATCTTCGTGTTGGGTAACCATATACATTCCACTAACTGTAGGAATCTAACCCAACAAATACCTGTTTAAATAAATAAAGTTTCCAAGATTTGAATTTATTTCAGGTACTAGAAACATGGAAATCTGAAACGTCCATACTTCCAAAAGCCAACTAGGTTACAAACCCAAGTTGTGCTTCATGCGAGGTAGATTCCGCGTACGTCAAGAGCTAACTATCTGTCAGCTATATTTTAAAGTCTAGTGATAAAACAAGAAAGAGTTTCTACTGAGTTTTTGTTGTACAGGTATGGCCTACTTATGTAGTTTAACAAGTGTAAATAATGTTATTATTTATATTGAACACCAGATCTGTCGTGCAATATTTATTATATAGAATTATAGAGCTTGGATGAATGAAGTGGTAAAATTAAATAGTTTAGTGTTTGTAACTCGCTGGCATTAGCAAAAGTACACAGTATATACATATATGCATTATCTCACGTAAAAAATGAAAAACAAAGATATTACAGTGAATTAAGGCTGTTAACAACCACATGAGAAATGGACGATGATATTTTCTTGAAATGGGACAATATTTATTAAATATCATGCATAAATGTAATACTAAAACATTACTGAAATTGATAGAACTCCTCCTCCAAAGGTTAACTTACAACACTAGAAACGGTGTTTCGAAACCCGTGGTGGGCACAGCACAGATAACCCTTTGTGTAACTTTGTGCTTAACTACAAACAAATAAACAAACAAACCAAAGGTTAACTTGAATGTTCTACAGTTCTTATACTACAAAAATAGTTAATGATAAATAGATGTTTTAACGTTCACATCGTTTCGAGCCTGTACAACAATTAGAGATTCGAGGACCTAGTGTATGTGTTGATTTGTAGCAGTGGGATGAAAGCGTCGAGACACCATGTTAAGCTGAAGTAAAAATACACACTTTATTAAGTGAAGAAGAACTGAAGTGATAGATTATTGCAGTACGATACGAAGTCATTGAAGAAGAAACTAAACTATTAAAATAAGACGAACATAATGGAAAATAGTATTTAAATAAAAGAAAGAAAAACGAAAAGAAACTGAACTTAAAGACGAAGATAGGACGACTCACACGATCAGCAAAAGTAACAAAATGATGGCTAAAACAACTTCAACCCTTTTACGACACTTCTTCAAAACCACAAACTGCATTCACTATTTGTCTTCTTTTTTGCGACTGACCAATCATAAAATTCCGTCACAAGAAACTACTTCTGTCCATGTGACTGTCGTAAAACTGTCCTACGTGTACACGGTAAAGTAGGACACAAATAGAATGGTGGGATTCTGCTACAGAAAGTAAAACCTACAGTTGTCGTTATCGTTTGACCGGATTTAGTTTGTTGCAAATTAAAACTTAGAAAGTTAAAAAAATTCAAAATTACAAAAATGTGTAGTTATGAAATGTACACTAAGTTAGATATGTAGTGTAGTTATGAAATGTACACTAAGTTAGATATGTATTATTACATACCACAGGTTCCTCTTACTGTAATCCTTACAGCCAAATTAACTGTTTCCCTTCAATATATATATCTTCCCCTCAAAAAAAGAAATAGAAGCAAAAAGCTTGGATTAAATCTTTTTTCATACATTCACATGTGTTTAGTCGCATGATATAATTACCATTTCAGAGCCTTAAAAAAACAAGTTCGTATTCTGCAGGTTTTTTTGTTTGTTTGTTTTAACAAATGCAATAAATATATATTGTCTTGACAAACTCTAAACCATTTCTTTTCTTTTCTACTCACCACACTCTTGCTTACAATATATGAACTACAAAGAAAATTCGTCGTCGGTGGATCATGAATAATAACATGGATATCTAATGGAAGCTGGTAGCTAGCTCACCAACAATCAAAATACTTCATCACCACATATAACTAAATAATACAGCAAAGAAAGTGAAATGCTGGTTATCCATTACTACAAACCAGGTACTATAAATATGTTTGTTTTCGAGTCGAACTGATTTCCCTCACGAGTGATAAAATAGATTCACGCAATGACTGGAGATTCAGTCAGGATATTTCTTACAGAGTAGCTTTAAATTTTCTGAGTTCGTAAAAAGAGACCAAATATAACATAAAAAAGATAAACAATATTTATTTAAAACGTACAAAAACAATAGGCATATGGTTATTGACGGTCTCTTTTACTGGATTGTAAACTATTTCTCTCCAAACTGCCTTGGTTGAGAACATATTTAAGGCTGACTACACCTTATGTTACTTAGTTAAAAGGTAACATCACACTTACCAAGAGAGACTAGAACTATTCACTTGACTGGCCATACCCTATCAAAGATAAAAGAGGTTGTAACTTCAAAGAATCATCTGAAAAACTCTGCTGTCTACATTCATGCACAAGGTGAAGCTTTATGTACTACCCAAGGGCAAAGTGGGTGCTACCTAAAAAAAATTAAAAAAACAAAGGTCGCTAAAGCCAATGCAACTTAGTGAATTTCTTGGCCACCTGTTTTGAAAACCTGCATACATACAGAATAACTGACAAATTCCGTAAAAAAAAAACGATGGTAGAAAATGTATGACTATGCAAACCAGATCAACACAGATAAACTTTGCAATATTAAGGTATAGAATGTGATATTCTTTTTTTTTTTTCTAATGGCATATTCATCTGCTTCAGTTTTTCAATAATTAATAAAACCTATAATGCTAGTTAAAAAAGCTGAAAGCGCATAGGAAATTTAGTTTCATTAGTCGCTCACATGACACACTAAGGTATGAAACCGTCTTAAAAGCGGTAAAATTTCTTTTACTTTAATTTACTTCAACAGATGGCACTGTAAACGACTTGACTTTTGAAATTAATTTGTGAATAGAGAGCTTTAATAATTCAGAAACATTGCATTTTTATTTAAAGTAACATATTTTCTTCGTGTTAATAAATAGAGGCGTATTCATGTAAGTTAATGAACTTATCCTGTGAATTCACGCCCCTTATTTACAATACCACAAAGCGACTATACCAAAGGATTAATGACGAGTTGTAGTTTTTCGATGAATTTACAACGTAGTATATCCGAGTTTATAGAACAAATTTAAATTAATTGTATTTCAGTGCTATTTGTTTTCAATTTGTTTATTGTTTTTTAAGGTTATACCTATATATATTATATATATATACCTAAATAAATAAATATCTTACAAACTATTGAATACATTAATTATTAATAGGCGATTAAATCAGCACTATAAAACAATAATTAATTAAATATCGCATTACCGCTATCGGTCATGGTTGTCAACTTATTGTCATAACGGATAATGTCTGTGGTAATAGCACCCAAATGCGTTGGGGATATCTCTTCTATCAGTCAGAATCCAAACGCCAATGTCAATCTAGTTACCTATCATAGAATATAATAAAAAATTCATTCAAATATGGGTATGAAGCTGAGTGCTTACACCCACAACGTCTCAGTTTCTACTGCCTTTCACTGTCTATAGCCAGTTGTGGGAAGGCAGTTATCCTTAGATTTCTTAAAGTAGAAATAAATTAAAACAAAGCCACCCAAATATTTCTGCTAATTAAACTCCCAACCTCCACCCTTCCAAAAATATATTAAATAGAACTAAACAGAACTATAAAATATTAAATAGAATTAAACAGAACTAAAAGATATTAAACAGAATTAAATAGAACTAAAAGATATTAAATGTAACTAAATAAAAATAAGCACCTGCACGAGAATGTACGAAAACAGGCACCTGCGCGTGTATGTACCAAAATGGGCACCTAGTCGCGCATGTACGAAAATAAGCACCTGTGCGTGTATGTACCAAAAATGGGCACCTAGGCGCGCATATACGGAAATAAGCACCTGCGCGCACATTAACCAAATTAACATTAACCTGCGAGACCATGTACCGAAATGGGGACCTGCATGAGCATGTACGAAAATGGGCACCTTCGCGCGCATGTACCAAAATGGGCACGTGCGCACATGTACGAAAATAGGCACCTACATGCTCATGTACCAAAATGTGCATGTGCGCGTGCGTGTACGAAAATAAGCACCTGTACGTGCATGTATGAATATAGGCACCTGCGCGTGTAGTACAAAAATGGAAACCTGCAGCGCATGTACCAAATTACGCACCTGTGCATGCATGTGCTAAATTACGCATTTGCGCGCGCGTGTACTAATTACGCACTGCGAGCACATGTACCAAAATGGGCACCTGTGCGCGCATGTACCAAATTACGCACCTACTCATGCATGTACCAAATTACACATCTGCGCGCACGTGTACCAAATTACGTACCTACGCATGCATGTACCAAATTACGCACATGCGCGTGCATGTACGAAAAAAGCACCTGTGCGCGCATGTACGAAAATAAGCACCTGC